GCTGTTAATCAAATTCTTACTACTTTGGCAAAAGGAAAAGTATTTGCCAAGTTGGATATGGCTCAAGCCTACCAGCAGTTACCTGTGGATGAAGAGGCTGCTGATGCACAAATGATAATAACACACAAAGGAGCTTTCCGAGTAAGACGTTTGCAGTTTGGAGTTTCCATTGCTCCTGGCATATTCCAGAATTTAATGGAGGACCTCTTATCTGGACTTCCAGGTGTAGTGCCTTATTTTGATGATGTTCTTATTGGAGCAGATTCTATACAGTCATTGGCTGCACAGGTACAACTTGTTTTACAACGTTTTCTTGATGCTGGTCTAAAACTTAAAAAAGAAAAGTGTGTTTTCGGTGTAAGCAGCGTGGATTTCCTTGGTTACCGAGTTGACGCACAGGGCATTCATCCAACTGATTCTAAGGTTGAAGCTATCCATAGAGCTCCGGTTCCAACAAACAAACAAGAACTGCAAGCTTTCCTTGGGTTGCTTAATTTTTATCATTCTTTTCTGCCTGATAAAGGCACTGTTGCTGAACCTCTGCATCATCTTCTAGAATAAAGATGCTCCATGGAAGTGGACTGATGTTCATACTACCGCTTTCAGCGCTGCTAAGAACCTGTTGTCTTCTGACAGTTTACTTGTACACTATGATTTGGAGAAACCGCTCAACCTCACCTGCGATGCTTCTCCGTGTGGCATAGGGGCTGTATTGAGCCATACTTTGAGAAATGGGGTTGAGGCTCCTATTGCGTTTTATTCACTGACTTTATCTACTACAGAGAGGAATTACGCCCAAATTGACAAGGAGGCTTTAGCTATTGTGTCCGGTGTCATGACTATTTGTATGGGGGGAGGTTTACTATTATAACAGATCATAAACCTTTACTGGGTCTGTTCACCAGCAATACTCCCACTCCTAAAATAATTTCACCCTGCATGCTCAGGTGGTCCCTTATGCTGAATGCCTATGATTGTGAGTTCAAGTATCGTCCTGGCAAGGATATCAAACATGCTGATGGATTAAGCCAATTACCTTTTCCTTGTTCCTCCTATGTCTGAGGTCCTCATGTTGGAATCCATTCCAAACCCTCCGTTACATGCAAGTGACATTGCTTGTATGTCTGCCAAGGATCCTTTGCTGTCCCGTGTGCTCAACTGGGTTTGGAGGGGGTGGCCAAAATCCAAAGTGGAAGACAAGTTCAAACCATTTGTAGTACGCCAACATGAACTATCTGCCTATAAAAGGTTCTTATAATGGGGAAACAGAGTGGTAATTCCAAATGCAGGACAAGCTTGAGTATTGCATGCTCTTCATGAAGGACATCCTGGAATAGTTCGCATGAAAGCTTTAGCCAGAAGTTATGTTTGGTGGCCTAAAATGGATGTTATTGAAAAGTGGGTGAAGAACTGTGTACCATGCCAATCTACTCGTCATGCTCCACCTAAAGCCTCAGTACATTCTGAGTGACTAGATCACCTTGGTCCCGTTTACATATAGATTTTGCTGGCCCTTTTCATGGACAGATGTTTTTTTTTTTAGTTATTGACTCCTTTTCAAAATGGTTAGAAGTTGTTCCAGTTACATCTGCTACCTCAGTCACAGTCATAAAGATTCTAAGGAGGCTGTTTGCTACACATGGGTTGCCAGATACAATTGTGTCTGATAATGGAACACAATTTACCTCATCAGAATTCAAAATTTTTATGACAAGTAATCTTATTCGACATGTTACGACTGCACCATTTCACCCATCATCAAATGGTCAAGCTGAGCGTATGTTTCAGATTACCAAAGACTCATTAAAGAGAATTATTGAAGGAGATTGGAATCGTAGACTTGCAAATTTCCTTCTGCAACAACATGTGACACCATGCTCAAGCACTGGTAGTAGTCCAGCAGAGATCCTTATGAACCAATGTCTTAAAACTTGTCTGGATCGTTTACATCCTGATTTGACATCTGAGTTACAAGAGAAGCAAGAATTGCAATTCAATAAGAACTATAATGCTTCCACTGTGAGAGTATTTGCACCTGACAGTGCTGTCTATGTCAGGTATTATGTTTCTGGGCCTAAATGGATACCTGCAAAAGTACTTGTGGCCACAGGACCGTTGTCATACAAAGTTCAAATTCCTGATGGTAGAATATTACAAAGGCATGTCGATCAGATCCGGGAACGGAGTGATGAGATTGTGCCTGCTGTCGGTCTCAGTCATACCGGGTTTTCTGTGATACCAGATGATGTTGAACCACTGGGTGATACAGGTGTCAGTTCTCCAGGAGTTGTTGTTGCAGAACCAGTTCCTTGTGGTCCATCTGAGAGAGCACAGGAAGAAGGGATGGGCACAACTGAAGGTCCAGGTGAAGCAGCTCCAAACATGGTTTTGGGGCGCCCATGAAGAAATATTCACCCTCCCAGTTATCTCAAAGACTTTGAGGTCTAGGGGGGAGGAGTGTTATTTATTGGGGTGTTATGCAGTCCCCCTTCTAGTAGATGGCAGCATAGTGCAGTTATGCACTTGTTCTGTTGTGTTAGTCTCTCGTGTTATGTTATTATGTGTGTGTACTGAAGTAAAGAGAAGTTCTATTTTACTACAATGTCTGAGAGCCATTTGTGAATATATAACATGCGAATATTTTAAAGATAGGGAGATTGAACATCCCCCCTACAACACCCTAACGTATACCCATTGAAAAATATCAATGGGAATTTCGCTATAGGTGTGGGGGAATTCTAATTATATATTGATAAACAGAAGTATATAGGGACATTTTAAATCTAGGAGTGCACCAACATGGGGGTTATTTCTGAAAAGTAGACAAATGTCCCATTGTTATACAGGTACATAGTCCCCAAACATATATATATATAAAAATGTATATGGGGAGATATTATTCTAGTGAAAATAAATACTAAATATGTAAAAATGACCATATTGATGATATCACAATGGATGCATATTTTATTAACAGTTAGCCCTTAAGTATCATTAGGGGTATATCCGGATGGAGTGGTAGATGAAAAGCATGAAGTCCCAGAATGTCAATTAATTGACTAGGGGTCAGTCAAAGAAGGTCCCTAAACAGTCAGTTGGAATAATGATATTGTGTTGGGTTTGAATGTATACTGAATAACCATCTTAGGACCGTACATTGGGCAGCTGTGGATATAATTTCCGTTTTTTTGGTGTAACCGGTAAACATCCGTATGGGCTAGTTAGGAAGAAAGAAAATAAAAAAAACTTTTATTACTATTTATATACATATAAACATTTTTACAAACAGCGCGGTCTAAAATAATATAAGAAAAAGGATTTGCAGCACCTCATTCTATAGATGTCATTTGTCTCATTAGTCTATAAAAATGACGAGAAGGTGAACCCTTCATAGAGCCCCTGTGGTGAAAGTGTTTTAAGTTTGTCTATCCATTACGATTCTTTGTGCTGGGTTTGGGGTATAGATTCTATACCCATGAAGCGTATCTTATTCGCTGAGTTAGCATGATGTACTTTAAGGTGCCTGGAGGTTGGAGTTTCCAGTCTCCTTCTAACTGAATTAACATGTTCCCTGATGCGTAGTTTAAAGGGACGAAAAGAACATGTTAGGAGGTATATGACTCCTTCTGTATAGCAGTTAAAGAATGATAGTACAGGATAAGATACTTGATTCTGACTGTCTGAAAAATTTTCTTATATGATTTCATAGGAGATAAGCCTAAGTTCATCTTTAGGGGGGCAAACAATTTTAAGCAAATTTTAACCTCAAATTATGTAGAAAAAGAAGATAAGGACGTTAATTTTCCAACTAAATGGTCAAAACCTCAAAAAGGTTTCCATCATTGCGGCAATTGTTATGCCTGCAAAAATACCCATGTTACGAGGCGGGGCCGGGCTGCCAGGCTGCATAGCAGCAGAACCTCATGTCTCCCGGCCTGAGCCCAGGAAAATGGCTAAAAAAACAGCACACAGAACACAATAAAGCTGGATTACTCTACATATTACTGAAGAGGAACACATAAGCTATCTGACGATACCTCACTGAACCCGTTAATGGGATGGGAACATTGACTCTCCTAAACCGGGCCTACGCGCCATAATAAGCCTGGACATGTACGACACCTGCAGGCGCACAGATAAGGGCCCAACAGGCTGGGGAAGACTGAAACCCGGCAATTCTTCACTGAGGACAGCAAAGCTGCAGGGGGTGGCCCGGACCCGCTTCCCCCCCTCGGCCGGAGGGGGTGATTCCCGCCACATGGGGACGACACACTCCAGGGCGGAAGATACCGCATGGGGTCAACACCGATCCCCTAAACAGGCAGGGGCCACCAGACTGGGGCCCGCCTGCAGACTTACTCCAAAGGAGAGGGAACGCAGAGGACTAAACAAGGGAGACTGACCGGAGCACCTCGTGCGGGCCCTGGTAGTGCCGGGCGCCGGACAGACCCCCCCGCGCTAGGCTCCCGACCACTAGTGGAGTGGGCGTCTGAGCCTCTGGGTCTGTGGGGTCCCCGGAGAGCTTTTGTCCCTGATGCCGCAAGCCCGGTAGGGTGGGACCAACGCTACCCTCCCGACGGACCGGTGGTTGGGGGGGATAGCCACCAGCTCCAAAAATGTGGCCGGCACCGGGTGAGACAGCAGAGTGCGCGCTCCAAGTACATACTCAGCTCAGTTTAAAAACGAATATGTCAAAAGTTTGACAGTTTTAAATTTTTATTTTTTTATTATACATTTGTTCCATAGCATGCTTACGGTGCAATTAATAAGACATTGTTATAATGCGAATAGACATGATTTACTATCGCCTGACTGGTGCAATACCTCTGCCATATATGTTTACCGCACCATACGATTAAGCAATTATTTGAGTCTGAGTGAAACATACAACAATTTTTTTTTTTTCACATTTACAGTATTTTTAGCAATGGTATACGCCTGATTGTGGCATTACATACTGAATATTTACGTAGGTGCACCTCAGCCTAAAACTGAATATGACAAAAGAAGGCAATACGTGGTGACTACATTAGATATCGTTAAGTTTATATTATTTGATGTTAATGAATGTTATTTAAGGTTTCCGTTCAACTCGCAAGAAAACTTGATTACATGTGGCTAAAAATTGGCTCACGAAGTGACCAGCAGTGCATAAACACAGCACTGAACTTAAATGCTTAGGTAGTGCCGACGATTGACATCCTGTAAATTCATACTGGACCTCTGCGTAGGCACCAGCTTATTAATTAATTACTTTTCAGCACAATGAGCCTCTGCGCAGGCAACACTGCAATTAATCTTATAAAGGGCCTCTGCGCAGGCAACATCACGCTTAATCGCAGGTTTGCGATATCTTTATGTGATAACAATAAACATATTCAAAACAAAAATACCCATGTTACTAAGAAAAAGAAAGATGATTTTACATCTAATACAACTAAAAAGAATTTTAACATCACCTCTTTTATTACATGTGAGTCCACCAATGTTATCTATTTATTGCAGTGTACATGTGGTCTACAATATATAGGCAAAACTTCAAGACCACTAAAAACAAGAATATATGAACATATTAGAAATATTAAAATTGGGTTTATAAATCACAGTGTGTCAAACCATTTCTTAGGAAGACATAATTCTAACCCAAAAGAACTGGAGTTCATAGCAATTCAAAAAATTCAAACCCATTGGAGAGGTGGCAATAGTGCTTTTAATTTAAGTAAAAAAGAATCTTATTGGATATTTGAGCTTCAAACACTATGCCCTAAGGGGCTTAATATAGAGTTCGAAATAGGTCCAATTTTATAACTTAACCCCTCTTTCTTATCTTTGTTCTAAGAGTTCTAATCACATATACTACTTTTATACCTTTTATATTTTATTCATTTCGAAATTACTATGTTATTACATCTACTTTGTATTGCCAGATGGGGTATTTATAGATCATTATTTTATCATTGTGTATTGTTATTATTTATACTTTATCTTATTCTCTTCCTCCCCCTTTGTGTGGTGTGGATATGAAACGAACTCTGTTCCTATGTGAAACGTTGTGACTCTGCCCATTCTATGACATGATCTTATGATTGACATGTAGTAAAATACATGTCTACACCCTCACCAACCACGAAACCGGAAGTGATAATCCCCGGCAATTAGCCGCGAGACGGCATAATTGCGTGGCCATCTTTGGGAGGTCAGATGTACCTCCATAGGAAATAACTGCACGGCGGACATCTTGGAGGAGGCGGACAAATCCAGAAGATTGACGGAAACACTACATGTAAGGTGAAGAGGACGGACTATCAACCCACAGCTGCTAATGTTTGTAATTTAATTATATCTGCTATGTATGCTATATAAGAATGTTGTGGTACAAGCTATATGATACGCACCTGAGGAAGACCTATTGCACTAGGTCGAAACACGTTGTGCCTTTTTATCTACTTTATTTTATATTGTTCCAATAAAAGTACTTACTTTTTATTCATTTGGTAACCTGGTTCCTGATTTTCAAAAAAGAAGACTTCGGATATCTTCCAAGGGACCCGAATCCTTAAACCCACATCTGATTGATGTTTCTGCTTCTAAAGTTTAGAGCCAACTCAGAAAGGCTCTAAATATTGTGAGTTTGTCCAAGTTTTATACTACAGGGAGTGCAGAATTATTAGGCAAGTTGTATTTTTGAGGATTAATTTTATTATTGAACAACAACCATGTTCTCAATGAACCCAAAAAACTCATTAATATCAAAGCTGAATATTTTTGGAAGTAGTTTTTAGTTTGTTTTTAGTTATAGCTATGTTAGGGGGATATCTGTGTGTGCAGGTGACTATTACTGTGCATAATTATTAGGCAACTTAACAAAAAACAAATATATACCCATTTCAATTATTTATTATTACCAGTGAAACCAATATAACATCTCAACATTCACAAATATACATTTCTGACATTCAAAAACAAAACAAAAACAAATCAGTGACCAATATAGCCACCTTTCTTTGCAAGGACACTCAAAAGCCTGCCATCCATGGATTCTGTCAGTGTTTTGATCTGTTCACCATCAACATTGCGTGCAGCAGCAACCACAGCCTCCCAGACACTGTTCAGAGAGGTGTACTGTTTTCCCTCCTTGTAAATCTCACATTTGATGATGGACCACAGGTTCTCAATGGGGTTCAGATCAGGTGAACAAGGAGGCCATGTCATTAGATTTTCTTCTTTTATACCCTTTCTTGCCAGCCACGCTGTGGAGTACTTGGACGCGTGTGATGGAGCATTGTCCTGCATGAAAATCATGTTTTCTTGAAGGATGCAGACTTCTTCCTGTACCACTGCTTGAAGAAGGTGTCTTCCAGGAACTGGCAGTAGGACTGGGAGTTGAGCTTGACTCCATCCTCAACCCGAAAAGGCCCCACAAGCTCATCTTTGATGATACCAGCCCAAACCAGTACTCCACCTCCACCTTGCTGGCGTCTGAGTCGGACTGGAGCTCTCTGCCCTTTACCAATCCAGCCACGGGCCCATCCATCTGGCCCATCAAGACTCACTCTCATTTCATCAGTCCATAAAACCTTAGAAAAATCAGTCTTGAGATATTTCTTGGCCCAGTCTTGACGTTTCAGCTTGTGTGTCTTGTTCAGTGGTGGTCGTCTTTCAGCCTTTCTTACCTTGGCCATGTCTCTGAGTATTGCACACCTTGTGCTTTTGGGCACTCCAGTGATGTTGCAGCTCTGAAATATGGCCAAACTGGTGGCAAGTGGCATCGTGGCAGCTGCACGCTTGACTTTTCTCAGTTCATGGGCAGTTATTTTGCGCCTTGGTTTTTCCACACGCTTCTTGCGACCCTGTTGACTATTTTGAATGAAACGCTTGATTGTTCGATGATCACGCTTCAGAAGCTTTGCAATTTTAAGAGTGCTGCATCCCTCTGCAAGATATCTCACTATTTTTGACTTTTCTGAGCCTGTCAAGTCCTTCTTTTGACCCATTTTGCCAAAGGAAAGGAAGTTGCCTAATAATTATGCACACCTGATATAGGGTGTTGATGTCATTAGACCACACCCCTTCTCATTACAGAGATGCACATCACCTAATATGCTTAATTGGTAGTAGGCTTTCGAGCCTATACAGCTTGGAGTATGACAACATGCATAAAGAAGATGATGTGGTCAAAATACTCATTTGCCTAATAATTCTGCACTCCCTGTACTGTATTTGTGTTAAGATATATTACCCTATAATGTTTTTTTATACCCACAGAACCTAAGGATTTCTTACTCAATACAAGGATATCATCTACCATGGCTGGTATATTGTAAACATATTTTCAATTATTATTTGATAATGATTTTATTATCAGCTTTCAACTTTGATTTAATTGTGTGTAGTTGCATTAAGAGCAATGCATTATTATTATTTACAGCCCAGAATTCTCAAAAAATATATATTATATATAAAGTGTCTCACAACAGTAAGTACACCCCTATCTTTTCATGTGACAACACTGAAGAAATTAAGCTCTGCTACAATGTTAAGTAGTAAGTGTACAGCCTGTATAACTGTAGTGTAAATTTGCTGTCCCCTCAAAATAACTCAACACACAGCCATGAATGTCTAAGCCATTGGCAATAAAAGTGAGTACACCCCTGAGTGGAAATGTCCAAATTGGGCCCAAAGTGTCAATATGTTGTGTGGCCACCATTATTTTCCAGCACTGCCTTAACCCTCATGGGCATGGAGTTTGCCAGAGCTTCACAGGTTGCCACTGGAGTCCTCTTCCACTCCTCCATGACATCACGGAGCTGGTGGATGTTAGAGACCTTGCGCTCCCCCACCTTCTTTTTTAGGATGCCCCGCAGATGCTCAATAGGGTTTAGGTCTGGAGACATGCTTGGCCTGTCCATAACCTTTACCTTTAGCTTCTTTAGCAAGGTAGTGATCATCTTGGAGGTGTGTTTGGGGTTATCATATTGGAATACTGCCCTGCGGCCCTGTCTCCAAAGGGAGGGGATCATGCTCTGCTTCAGTATGTCACAGTACATGTTGGCATTCATGGTTCCCTTAATGAACTGTAGCTCCCCAGTGCCGGCAGCACTCATGCATGCCCAGACCATGACACTCCTACCACCATGCTTGTCTGTAGGCAAGACACACTTGTCTTTGTACTCCTCATCTGGTTGCCGCAACACACTCTTGACACCATCTGAACCAAATATGTTTAACTTAGTCTCATCGGACTACAGGACATGGTTCCAGTATTCCATGTCCTTAGTCTGCTTTTATTCAGAAAACTGTTTGCTTGCTTTCTTGTGCATCATCTTTAGAAGAGACTTCCTTCTGGGACGACAGCCATGCAGACCAATTTGATGCAGTGTATGGTCTGAGCACTGACAGGCCGACCCCCCACCCCTTCTACCTCTGCAGCAATGCTGGCAGACAACCTCTGCATAGGACGCTTAACATGTGCACTGAACTTCTTTGGTCGACCATGGCGAGGCCTGTTTTGAGTGCAACATGTCCTGTGAAACTGCTGTATGGTCTTGCCAACCATGCTGCAGCTCAGTTTCAGGGTCTTGGCAATCTTCTTATAGCCTAGGCAATATTTATGTAGAGCAACCATTCTTTTTTTCAGATCCTCAGTTCTTTGCCATGAGGTGCCATGTTGAACTTCCAGTGACCAGTATGAGAGAGTTTGAGAGCGATAACACCAAATTTAACACACCTGTTTCCCATTCACACCTGAGACCTTGTAACACTAATGAGTCACATGACACCCGGGGGGGGAAAATGGCTAGTTGGGCCCAATTTGGACATTTCCACTTAGGGATGTACTCACTTTTGTTGCCAACAGTATAGACTATAATGGCTGTGTGTTGAGTTATTTTGAGGGGACAGCAAATTTACCCAGTTATACAGGCTGTACACTTACTACTTTACATTGTAGCAGAGTGTCATTTCTTCAGTGTGGTCACATGAAAAAAAATATTTACAAAAATGTGAGGGGTGTACTCACTTTTGTGAGATACTGTATATATATATATATATATATATATATATATATATATATATATATATATATATATATTTGTGTAAGGGGCAAAAAGGCCGTATAGAGTGAAAGAGAGCAATGTAGGAATAACGTAATACAGAATGAAAAAAAAATAAAAAAAAATTCGGTTGAGGTGTGCCGGAACAGACGATGCAGGTAGGCCTGTAAAATAAAGAGGGTCCACCCAAGGTTAAAAAGAGAAGAAAA